TAAATAACTTCAGTCCTTATTATGTGTTTAACAAGCCTCCTGAAGTTCAAAGTTCTCTCATGATCAGACCAGAAAGGTGAGATTTTTTCAGTGTCATACTTCTAAACATTGGATTAATTTAAGAAAATATCCCAAAAAGTGGAAGAAGTAATGATAATTGATCAATATTTGTTTTTATCATTTGTGGAACACAGGCCCGGAATTCCATGGTCACCATGGCTACTCTATAGAGGCAGGATGGCAGCATCTTTTAATGTAACCACTGAAAAAACAAACTTTGGCATCATCATTATGCCATTCGTGCCAATTGCTTTTCACTTCTGTGTTTAAAACCTTGAGACCAGTATGCAATTAAAGTTTTAGCGCGTTTGTGTGTGCGTGTGTGTGTGTGTGTGTGTGTGTGTGTGTGCGTGCGCACACATGTGTTTGGGAGTCATTTTCAAAGGCGCTCTTACAAGGGCTGAATGTTTCAAATCCACTCCCGTGTGCTACTGAGCCAAGCTTTTCCATATATTTTGGGTATGTCAGCAGATAAGCTGCCAGTCATATGGAAGTTTCATTCAAAGTTTCCGTCTCATTTTCTTTTGTATGGAAATCTCGGTCAAGCAGAAAGGGAAATTTAAGTGTGAAATTGATTCACATTATATCTGTGCTGCAATCGCAGTCTCCAGCCACTGTGAAATTCAGTCCAAATATTGTTTCCATTTCTTCTTAAGATGTCTATTATCTGCAGCAGACCACAATGTCGGAAGCCCCCAATGTCAGTGAATTCTGGAAAATATCAAATTGATATTGAGATACAATTCGGAGTGCTTTATTTATTTCTTTTTTTGAAGGGAGGTGGGAGATTTTGTCTGACTGAGAGACACTTCTGCTTTTTGAAGCACTCCTTTCTTGTTGTCAAACTTATCAAATGCGAGACATTCTTTCTGCCAGTCACTCTGACATCTGCTTACTGTGTGTTCTGTGTCATGCTTAGTGTGCCTTATCTCTTCAGTTCCGTAGGCCTGGCTAAAGCTGCTCTGGAGGCCATAAACGGATTCAACCTTTTTGGAAACCAGGTATGTCAATTCCATCTCAGCAGTTGTTGTTTTTTTTTTTCTTCTCTTACTTGTTTCATGACTCAGGATGAGGGCCGAATTGATTTAAATCTGCAAGGCACTTTATAGCTGCATCTGTCAACAAGGAGATAATAGGCTTTATGTGGACAGTGCCGCAACCTTAGCACCGTTGCACTGTAAAAACAGACAGGCGTGAATTTACTGCGAGCCGTAAAATTTGACGATTAGACATAATCAGAGTGATTAGTTCTGTTTCATCAATGCACCTCCAGAAACACATTAGGCCATCAGAATGTTTACTTGGCACGCTCGGGGTTTATCTCAGCAAACTGTTTGTGCTCCCTGACTTTGATCGATGTCGACTGTTGATCCTGGTTTCACGCCGACTCCCCGACATTCCTTTCTTACTCAATTCATTAGGAGATATGTTTCCTTTTTTTTCCCTTACTTATCTGTGGGACAGGAAAAATGGGAACATTCATTACAGCTGCTAATGGATTGGAAAAAGCCAGCCTTCCCTCCCACATTTTATTTTCTCTGCCCAGACATTGGCTTATCCAGCCATTTAATGCATCTGATCTTGGAATGTTCTCATTCCTCTTTATGCGTGACTGTTAGTTGCGATTGTAAATTTGTCGACTGTGTTTTTTCTGTTTTTTTTTTTTAACCGCAAAATGTGGATTTTCACTGTGCTTGAAAATGAATTTCCTCTTCAAGCTCAGCTAGTTGAAACTAGCTAGTTGGCTGCTTTATGATCCATGTTCTGTGAATCTTTTTTTTTGTGTGTGTGTGTGTGTGTGTCACCTCTAGAATCTGTGTGGAGGTGCACTAGCCTTCCAGTTCCTTATTAATGATCCCTATCAATCTTTATTTCCCAGCTGACTCTCATCCTTCCAACACTAAATGTAACTCCCCCAGCATCTTAAAGGGGGTTAGTACATTTAGTACACTCTATTACAGTTAATTTCAGTTTTCGTCAGAAATACACACAGCTCTACCTTTGCAAGCATTTGTACTTCCTGAGCATCTCTGATGGATGCAAAGGATGAATCGAAATTGTCGGATGAAACTGATCTATCCTGGTGGGCGGATCAGATGTTAAACTAGCCATTAAATTCACAGAGCCGTGTACACAGGATAAGGCAATCCTGTCCTAACCTTTCCGAGGGCAGACGGAAAATGTAAGCTTTGGCAAAAACAAAGCCGGTGCCTTTAAATTACTCCCAACATCTGCATTTATTCTTGATTTGGTTCCATGCTGTGGCAGTTTGGCATAAATTATATTTTCTCAAAATCTAAAGCCTTACACCAACCCTTACCAATAGCGAGGACATTTATAGTTCTCTGCCATAGATTATGATACAAAACATGAAGGACCATTCCCCTGACTGGAGACACTGATGACTCAGCAGACTATGATGGTGGCCACCATCTCCTGCACTATGCAAATTCCTGAAGTGTGCTGATTTAACTGGAAGCCCAGGCCTGTTCCGAAAGAAAAGGAAACACGAACTGGCAACAGTCATACATAATGCATTGGGTTTGCATTAGAAACTGCTTAGTAGGTTGCAGGAATCACTTGGTTTTTCTGTAAGAACTGCTGACAGATGGATGAAGTGGACTGGACTGGCTTTTTAGAGCCAAGGAAAAAAGTTTCATAGCATTTGCAGCTAAGTACACACACACGCCACTTTCTAAAAGAGATGTTTTAATGCATTGGACGTGCGAACTGAATCATAGTTGTTCCACTTCACGCTTGTATGTGAAGACTTTTAAAGTGATGGAATAACTAGCATCTCTGTGCTGTTCAAACACTCCCACACTGTACTTTAAAAAAAAGCCAAAAATATCAGCCCGGCTCGAAAAGCGGAAAAGTGTGTTTTGAAGTGCAGAGGTGTGAGGTGAGGTGGATGAAGTTGACTCATTATTTCTTTTTCTTACAATTGACTTGTTTGACCGCTTGAGAGTGCGCGCGCAAAAAATGGGAAACTTTGATTTGCTGCTTTGCCCATGGATCCGGAACGGCGCCGCAATAACCAAGACCCCGACCCTCTCTGGTGTGTTTTTTCTGCTCCAGGGCTGCTCCTGGTCTGTGATATTTGTGGATCTGGACGCCCACAACAGGAACCGGCAGACCCTCTGTTCCCTGCTGCCCAGAGAGTCTCGCTCTCATGTGAGTTGTCACGTCACAGGCAAATACATTTTTAGATCAAATGTTCTTCTGTGTCTCGTAAAAGGCAATAATTTGGCAAGAGTCAGCCTCAGACCCTTTTTTTTTTTTTGGGCCAATGTGCTTAATGGGCTTAACAAATTATGTAATCAAGGACATTTATTTAAAACTTGCCGGATATCAGTTGGCTGTCTTTCATCACTCTAATTTTTACAATGTTTATCAGAAGCAACCCAGCGTTGCAGGAGCTATGACATGTGGTCCTGATGACACTTCAATGGATGAGACCGACATCGATTTTCAAATCTCGCATGCATCTTGATACTGTTCGCATGCTACACTGATCTATATCTCACACAAAAAACAAGAGCACAACAATTGGGAACTGTTTTATTCTTTTTATTTTATGGATAACACATTTATTGTCTATGCTCTCTAAAGTCAGGAAATGAAGCAATACGGTAAGCATGCCCTGATGAAAGAATGTAACTGGCACTGAATCATGTGCCGATTTTCTAAAAAACACGTGCGACCTGCATCAGCTCACCGCTTTTTCTTTTTTTTTTTTTTGTGAGCAAGAGAAGCAGCTGCGTGCCTAATCCCTACCAAATGGTAGCCTGCCATGGAAATGTCGGAGGTTAATTGCACACATCAAACTACCCACCGCATTCATGTCAGCGTGTCAGTGGATGTATTATCAATTCAGCGGTGCATTTTTACTCCCGATTCTACATACCTGGGCTATCGGTGGTCCGGCAGCTTTGAGAAATAAAAAGTAAAAGTGAGAGGCAGCTGCAAGGATGTAAAACTGGAAAAAAAAGAGAAATGAAAAGATGAAAGTAGGGGGGTAAATTACGTCTCCTTTCCCTTCCACCACTTGCAGACACTCCAGCGGCCGTATTTGTGTGCGCGTGCGGGCCTGAAAGTATGTGTGCACTAGATGTGTCAGACAGAATAGCCGCCGTCGCCCTTTTAGGAGGGAAATGAGTGTAATTAGACGATCAGAGGGGCGTCTTAGCCACATGAGATTGACGGAAAGAAGCTGGAAGCGGGAAGCGTGGACAGGGGTGAGAGACCCACACGGTGCAGGATTATGTCAAGATAAAAAGAATAGCAGTATATCAGCACTGCCTGTAAAAAAAGATCCATCGTTTGTGTTGTGCACCCCTATATTCCATTTCCACTGCGGCCCTTGTGCAGATTCAGGTTGGAAGATTGTCCAAAGAAAAAAAAAAGCAAAGTTTAGACCAGGGGTTTTCAAAGTATGATAGGGTGAGCCCCCCTCCATGGAGCATAATGCCTGCCGCGCCTCCCCCCCTCCCCCCCTCCCCAACAATCAACCCACACACAAACAAATGCCACTACAAAACACCTTCTAATTGCTTTTATTTTAGAACCAACTCATCTTTTAAAATGACACTTTATCTGAATGAAATTGAACACATGAACAATTGAACACATGAACATTTTAAAACATTTCCTCCCATTTTTATTATTTTGTCAGGGCTTTTGTATGGCAAATACGCCCTTTTTTCATTTTTCTAATGATAAGAACAACCCCAAACTCATTTTTCAACCGTTTTCTCAAACAAACATTACATCTGAGATTCTGAGTTTAATGTTTCAGATACCAACAGTGTTTTCACATCTTAACAAAAACATTCTGATCAGATCTTTGGAACACATCTGTAAATGTTGCACATTTCCTTGAAATTAAAAAATAAATCAAAAACCTAAACAGTTGTGAGATCGTGGAGCTCTTTTTGTGGCTCATCTAAACAATTTATCTCGAGCTAAAAGAACGTGCTGTATGAAAGAGCGGAGGCATACAAAGGAAAAAACAATTACGCACGCTATGCGCACTCTTTCTTTTTCTATCACGGTCCTGAATCATGTGTAACTCATTTTATTTATGATTTTAACTAAATTGGGAACATGGCAACACATTGGCAACATTACTGTTCAGCTCACCTTAGTTTTAGTGGGAACAATGTGCTTGTGCTTTTGATGTTGTTATCCGGTTAATGCGGGGTTGCACTGTGGAGAGGTATAACCGCAGATCATCTTCAACCAGCAGCCTTGACCGGTATTTGCTTTTTATCATTGCGAGTGCGGAAAACCCACATTCGCAGAGATAAGTTGAAGTGAAGGGGATGAGCACGTTCACTGCCTTCGTGGAGAGCTGTGGAAATTCAGTCCCTACTGACAGCCAAAAGTGCGCAAGTGACACGTCACTCATCCTCTGTTTCAAATCCATGTCACAGCTCAGCTCAGCCAGAGCCTCTTCCTCTCCTGCTGAAAGTCCATCTTTGTGTGTCACGGGGAAGGAAAATGGGTTTCTCACCCACTGGTTTGCCATTGTCTCCTCTCCAAAATACTCTCCAAACTGCTCGCGCATCCCCTCCAAATGCGCGCAGATCACCTGCTGTAAAAACTCCACCTTCAGCCCCGCTCTGGCCAAAACATCCTCTAAGGTGGGAAACATTTCTACTGATCCCCGCTCCACACGCGCACCCCACAGTTCCAACTTTTTTCTAAATCCACAGAGTTTATCGTGTGCGTAAAAGACGTTGCACTCTTTGCCCTGCAGACAGATGTTCAGTGTGTTTATCTTTTCGAAGACATCCGAAAGATAAGCAAGCTTTGCAACCCACTTCATGTCCTCCATGTGTTTTACCAGTGGAGTGTTGATTTCAGCGAGGAAAAGAAGGACTTCCTCACGGAGATCACAAAGGCGCGTGAGAACCTTTCCTCGGGAAAGCCAACGGACCTCCGAGTGCAGAAGCAGCTGTTTAAAGTGCGCGCCCATCTCGTTGCAGAGGATGGAGAAGAGACGGGCATTCATGGCGCGTGACTTTATAAGATTAACAATTTTTACTGCCTCGTCCAGCACAGTGCGCAGCTCTTGGGGCATCCTCTTAGTTGCCAAGGCCTGACGGTGGATTATGCAGTGCGTCCAAATAGCAGCTGGGGCGACCTCTTGCACCTTTTTTACCAGACCACTGTGCCGGCCTGTCATTGCCCTTGCTCCATCAGTGCATATTCCACAGCAGCGGCCCCAATCCACATTATTTTCCCGCATGAAGTCATTCAAAACCTTGAAAATTTCTTCTGCTGTAGTGCGCGAGGGCAGAGGGTGACAAAACAAAAACTCCTCATGCACATTTAGCTCTTTAACATAACGCACGTACACCATTAATTGAGCACAGTTGGCCACATCAGTCGTCTCGTCCAGCTGAAGGGAGAAGGAGGGGCTTTCACGAACACTGTCCACTACCTGTTGCCGCACATCTGCGCCCATATGTGAGATTCGGCGTTGGATGGTGTTGTCAGACAACTGGATAACATTCAGTTTGGCGGCAGCAGCTTCTCCCATCATTACTGAACACATGTCCTTAGCAGCAGGAAGGAGTAAAGTTTCACCGATGTTGTGGGGTTTCCCCGTCTTTGCAATGCGTAAGGCCACCCGATAAGATGCTTCGGTTGCCTTAGCGTTAACAGTACTGAACGTCTCTATTGTTTTTTTCTGTGTGCACAGCTCCTTCACCTTCCTCTCAAAAAACTCCCGCGGCTTGGTGACTAAACTTGGGTGCTTTGTTTCAATGTGACGCCGGAGCTTACAGGGTCTCATGCTATCATTAGCCAGAACCTCCTTGCAGATTACACATTGCGGCCTTGGAGCATCATCGGGAGCAGTCCAGGAAAATCCAAAATTTAAGTAGTCGTGGTCATACTTCCTCTTTTTTCTACTTACGCCAGAGCTTGTCTCCCCTGCCTTTTTCTTTACTAAAAATTTGTCCATTCTTTCTCTCACATAAGTAGTCACCAAGCAGATAGCTTCTTTTTCGGTTTATTTTTTCCCTCGCACCGCGCCTCCCCTAAGGTGCTCTGGCGCCCCCCAGGGGAGGCGCGCCTCACACTTTGAAAACCGCCGGTTTAGACTATTAAGAGCTGCATTCGGCCTGTCTGCGAACCGAAGAGATCTATGCAAATTAGGAGGGGATGCACTACAAAGGAGAAGGGCCGCATCAAACAGTCACTCGTATCCTGAACAGAAATGCAGCCCTTCATCTTTTGTTGAACAAGTTTGTGGATTTGTGCGAGAAGGAAAGTCGGGCGCAGTTCTGAGGGACCTCAGTTCACACAGGGAATGGAAGGCCGTGTGTTCAGGAGGCAGCGCTTCATTGAAATATTCATAGCAGTGAATCAGCATCCAGTAATGGCATTGATGCTCAATATAAATAAGCCGAGAATAAAACAATCCCAATAAGTAATGAAATGGGCAATAATAAAAATGTATTTCTCTATTAAACCGTGGTAGTTGGTCAAATCTGATCGCGGATGGGATCGATGTGGGGTTCATCTTTCCTCTCTGGCAGAACACGGACGCGGCCCTGCTCCCAACCATCAGCTACCCCGCCTTCGCCGTTGACGACGACGCCCTGTACAGTCAGACTCTGGACAAGATTGTCCGAAAGCTGCGGGGCAAATACGGCTTCAAGCGCTTCCTCCGCGACGGCTACCGCACTGCCAACGAGGACAAGAACCGCCGCTACTACAAACCCGCCGAAATGAAGGTGGGTGCCGATTCAGGATGAGAAAAACCACTTGTTCTCATCCGTTTGTTCAACCTCACTTAACCCTTTTCAGCTCTCACAAGTACAGGCATATATTATGCACTGTCTCTCAAGTAATAAGCCACATATCTTTTTTTTTTCCACCATGAAAAGTAGATTGCATATTTATTCAGTCAGACACATATGGGGCAAGATTTGTTTACGGCCTGTCTGACTGGAATGGACAATGAGCCCTTTTTTATTACTATTTAATTAAAGAGAACATTTTAAACTTTGAGGAGTGCATTTCCCAATCCATGAAAGATGAAAATTTTATTATTTTAAATCCATAATCCTGCAAATATACTCCTCCCTTTCTGAATCTGCAAAGATATCTGCATTTGATGTGAGCCTTTCGCTATGTTGTTTTTAAAAGAATTATTATTCATTTTAATCCCCCATACGTTTCACCCCACTCTGTGGTGGCTGTGTACAAATGACGGTGAGTCAGTGTCTGCAAGGATGTGTGCTCATGCATATGTGCATATGTGAGTGACCGCGCATTCATTGTCCTTCTGCGAATCCCCACCGCTCGGTATCCGGCGAAATGACATTAACTTGTATTCATTTCATGATCAGCTCACTGAGCATAGCATGAGTGAATCAGACGCCGGACTCTCAATGCTAAACAAATTATTGCTTTAGCTCTAGAGCTACCCTCCCTGAATTAATGAGCTTAGAAAAAGGGAGATGGAGTTAGGGGAGACATTATAAAGAAAGTCTAATGCAGCTGGAGCTCATGCTGGTTTAGGGGAACACTGACACGCTCTGTTATGGTCCAAATGCACTCAGACTTAAGATTTAATCAGCGGATTGATTCATTACCAGCGAGATTCATCAGTGAAACAAGTGTATGCTGACTGGATTGTGGACTGTGACTCTTTGTGGGTGTTTTTCTTTGTTTTTCGTTGTCAATGTGCAGTCACCTTTTCTACTGAGACGATTTAAGCTAAAAGACACACTATCAGGACATGACTTCTGCTCACACATCCACCACATCATTTTCTTTTTTCTTGAGTTCTCAGAGAAAAAATGGGTATATTGATATGGGTCATAGACTGTCAAACCTATTTCTAAGATGCCTTCAGTGGCCAAGTATTGCAGTAACCTTTTGACTGTTTCCTTAAGTGCAAAAAAAAAAAAAGGAAAAAAATGTTGTGCACGGAATACAAATCAACCCAAATTGACTTAAAAAAAAAAAAAAGCTCGACTAACACATCGAGCTGGCAAGTTTGGAGCTCAATCATTTATGCATGTCTCTGCTCCATTAGAATCAAACTGGCCTCGACAGTTCCAGCTTAGTGGGAAAAAAGCCACAACGGCTGGGAACCACAAGGGATAACGTATATCTTTCCGGCTCACTGTTTTTCAGCATTAAAGTTCTGCCGGTTAGTTTTTTCCGGTTCGCTTCCTGAACCGAGAAAAAGTCTTCAGCATTTTTTCCTTGTTTTTTTTTTTTTTTCTTTCCATATAAGCGCTCTTGGCTTAAAGGTGAGTATAAACTCCAGTCAAACCAAACAGTCATTAACAAAAGCCACTTACCGTGGACGTGCCGGCTTGATACACCGACGTGGGCCCCTCTCGAGGCGGCAACTCTCAACCACTTTGCAATTAGCTTAATATAATCCTACAGCTAATAGGATACAAAGACTCTAAGGCTAAGAATTATCAAGGAGTATTTAAAGACTCGGCTCCTTCTGGCTCTTTCTTGCCCTTGCTTCCTCCAGCAAACGCACAGATTTGCAATGCGAGATGTCGAATTCCCTCTCAGGTTGTAGTGGTTTTATTTTTACCTACATCTAAGCCGAGGAAAAAAAGTATTTACTCTACTGTGTTTTAAATATTACATTCTTTTTATGACATTACAGTCATGCATATAGAGACGAGGCGTACAAATATTGGCTATATGATTATTAATAACACCGTCAATAGCATGGGCCGGTGTAGAATAGAGAATGGTCTGTTAAACGTTACCAGCTTTTTGATGAAAAACATCCACACAGAGTAATCGAATGCCGTGGGAGAGTGACACGGTGCGAGCTCAGTCTGGAGGAAAAGAAGGCGCAGGTATAGAGCAGGTGAGGTGTCCCCCCCCACACACAGAAGACATTGACTGAAGTCGTTGTTGGTGTTTATGGGAGAATTCTCCGTGGGGCCGAGCCTGTGCTCCCCGCCTGTTTACCATTGACAGAGAGCTGCAGCAGCCCTCTGTGACAGACAGTTTTACCAATCAGTCAAGCTGCTCAAGCACAAAACACAAGGGAGCCCTGTGTGTTTACAGCCTCAAAGGGCAGAAAAGCACAGGCCTCATTGAGTAACTGCCTCAGCTCTCACCCCATCGCTAAACACACCCTCCCCTCGCTACTGTGTCTCCGCATGCATTTTGCCGTCTATCATTTTTTCACCCCCTCTATTTTGCCACCTGATGGCTAAAAGCGCTTCTCCTCCTTTCCAACAGTCTGAGGCCGTGCCTGTCCACATAATCGCATAATCACATTTCAAGACGAACGTGCCGAACGGGTGTCGGTATCAAAAGCATCGGCTCTATTCATGTGAATGTGTGCTGATTCCCCCGGGCACTTTTCTTTTTTTTTTTTTTGCATTTGGATACAATCTGCAACTTTCTTTCATCGGTGTGGAGATTACTGGCAAAGATGGGGTGCAAAGGATAAATAACATTTAAAGATTCAGAGACACAGACACAAAAAAAGCATACAGATGTTTTGTGCCGATAGTTTTCAAAGATATCTGTTTGATATTCCGCTTCTTTGGCTCTCTTCAGTGTTTTTAGGGGTTCATCCTCTTAGGTGGACATAAATATGAAACGCTTTTTAATAAATCTTTGATAGGATTGACCTGATAAGAATATGGCTTAAGGTTTGAGCCTTTTTATATAAGGGAAACAAGGAATGTGAAAAGAGGGCCTCATCAAAAATACACCACAATCCAGGGAGAAAATTCAAAGCCGTGTTTTATTTTTCACAAGGATGCTAATTTATGTTATGTAAACTCATTACAATGGAGAGTGGACTGTACTCATATGGGACTTTTCTGGTCTGAGCAAACTACTCAAAGCACTTTAACACAACATGTTGGCACCATTCCAGATAGCAGGTTCCCTGTTTTGATCCTGACTGGGGTCTATTTGTGTGGGTTTACTCTTAGGTTGCATTTTCAGCCGTATTTTTTAAAACGCGCTCCCCCTCTCCAGAACCATGCGTGCGTGGTGTTTTGTGTAGTTATTTTTTGTCTCAGTGTAGGCCCGGCGGTGGTTAAAGCGAAGACAAGAGACAAAATTGCATCTACTTTCGTTCGCGACTCTGAATAGACAGAGCGATTTCTCTCAGTGACCAGCCTCACAATGACTCATATTGACTTCAGCACTTTTCATCGTGTTGAACCAGCTGAAAAAAAAAAATAACCAGCTGGGTCCCGACGCTCCCAGGAGTGTGTAATTACTGTGCGGAGGAGGACAATAGTTGTTGACTGGCACTCCTGACATCAGCTTGGTGTATAAGCTCCTTAAGATTTGGAGGACAATCCTCTAAGCAATGGTGTAAATACAGAATCTTTGGTCTGTAAAATTCTCTGCGCGTATTCGAAGGACATACAACAAACAGTTCTGATTTAAGTCAGGTTTTGCTTTGCTTGGTTCTACATTTTAAAGGGTGTGCACCAGCTCATTAAATTTTTCATTACTACTTTTATCAGACTGATACAAACTCTCTTTATCCTTACAATCCGACAGTTTTCATCAAATGATAAAGCTCTTTTAAAAGTTTGAGAAGATGAAAGCAACCCCAAAAATGAGCAACGACACATGAAGTCATTCATTGTAATGTAATGAAGCGTAATCGTTGGTGCCGTGTATTTTGTTTGTTGAATTTATTTTACAGTCTGATGTTTTCTGTGTCCTTCCTGTTGTGCTGTTCCATATTCAGTGCGTCTGAGGCGCCAGTCATCTGTTGCTTTGAATTCCAAGGTCCATGTTTTAGCAATAATTCCGTCTCCCTCTGTTTTTCCTCCAGCTTTTTGATGGAATCGAGTGCGAGTTCCCCATATTTTTCATCTACATGATGATTGACGGTAAGCTTATTTCAACCATTGTTGCTGTAATAATCCCTTAAGAGGACTGGCAAGATGGCAGCCAGATTTGTAGCATTTGACAGGAAATGACAGGTCCTGTCAAACGCCAGGTTTTAGGAACTCAAATACATGATTTGAGAAAGGATGTGATTTGTTAAGTTAATTGAAAATACTTTGCAGAAACAATGTAAAAAATGTAATTTCCCCTGACAGTTTCAAGCATTAGTTAACAGCGTTCATGTCTCTACTCTCCATCAACTTTTCCAGGACTCACATGCAATATGATTTATGGCCTTTTATCAACTTTACAAGCTATGAACTCCTATCTCACATATTCAGAAATCATTCTAATAAGTAGAAAGAGTGTTAAAGGGAAAAGGTGACCTTAAAAAGCAATGTTCAGCAAATGTTTACAACAAATTAACCTACATTGCCTTTTGTGCCGTGTCCATTCCTGTTTTTATGGGGAAAAAAAATCAACATTTGAATAAGTTAATACCTGTGTCAAAATCTGTAGCTTTGTATACTTGTGTTAAAAGAGTACCTCAGACCTTATTTTGTTTTAAAGCTGTGTAATCAGTCCTCCTTCCTGAAAAACAATTGTGTGCTGAGTGTTAAGAGGAATGGGGGATTAAAAACAAACAAAAGCAACCAACCCCGTTGGTCGCCTGGAGAATTTAATGTCAAGAAAAGGTCAAACAACACTGCGGGGAGCATTATTTTTTATTCAGTCCTTTATTTTTTTTTTCAAAAAATGCATTTAGCACAAAATAGATTTTAAAATGTATTAAAGAGAACAAATGAACTGACCTTTTTGACAGTATTCAGCCACACTCTGGCAAATGAGTGACCCAAAGAACGAGCCATATGTCAAATTGATTGTTTCTGTCGATCCCAAACGAGTGAATTATGGAGCATTACCTCCAATAAACTTCTCTAAGTCCAACTGATCAGCCAATTCATCACACTTATCAATATGAAAATGAATTCTCTGTCCATCTCCCTGGCCAAATCTACAAGAAACCTTCACACTGCAGCAGAAGACCATTTGCCCTCCACCTGTCTCCCCATCATGTGGTTTTCTAACTCCCTGTGCAGGGTGTTTGCCTTTCAAATTGGCTAATACGGTGCTCTTCTGCCAGATCTCCCAGGTTTTACATTAAAACCCCATAGAAACTGCATTCAAGTCAGTCAGCATGAAAAGAACATTTCACTCCACTAGTCACTAGCGTTCTTCTCCGGTTTCCCTTTTTGCTAATGCTCGCCTAAAGAGCTACTTCGGGATCTGCTGCCAGCTACTTAAACTCGGTCAGACGTAACAGCCAATGCTCCCTCTGGACTTCTGTGACGTATGAGGAAACTTTTGGCATCCTCATCCCTACTTGAATCTTAGTACGGACTAAATGTTCAGTTTGATAGTGGAACAAGCTCAAATTCGGTGAAAACAGAGGCGACTCTCTCTGCTGTTAAGAATATCTTGACTCTTCCAAGAACGAATGTTGTTTACGCTTCGCTTGTTTATCAGTCTTTTCTACTTGCTTACTTGCTCATTTGTAAGTCGCTCTCTATAAAAGTGTCTGCAAAATGCAAACGACATATGTTATATTTTTCACAGATGCTCAGATTAGCTTTTAAATGGAACTCTGCACACTATTAGCTCAGAAGATACTTAGGTTATTTTATGACATGGCAAATTTGATGATATCCTCTTCAGAGTGGCTTTCTTTTCTATAAGCTGCGCACTTTATGGCAAGTCCTCGCTATGGAACGGAGATATTTACGTTGTGCATGAATAATTCCGACGGAAGATTTACATTAACATGCTTGAAACGCATTTGATTTATTCCTTGAGGTTAATGCCACTGTGAAAGCGGGGAAAACATTCATCATCCAAATGATTTTTCTGTGTGTTTGTTGCAGGGGTGTTCAGAGGGAATAAGGCACAGGTCAAAGAGTACCAGGACCTCCTTGAACCCATAATCTTTCAGTCTTTTGAGGGTAAGTTATCACAGAAATACACAGAGACACAATTACTGTATCTTATTCGGCATATCAGTGTGGTTTATTTTGGAGCTTTTAATTCAGTCTCTGTTCTCTCTCTCCCTGTTGAGATGAAAAACACCCTTTTATTAAATCCAGTCATACATATTCATACACCACATACTGTGACCGAGCTCACACGGGCGCTACATTCTAATGAACTCAGCCTTACCTCGTGAGTGAGGAGTCTGCTTTCTATACTCACCTGCAGCCCGATGCGAGAGAAGGCTGTCAAATAATGGCGCTGTCAGGACTTTGGAGTTTCCATTGTTCTTGTTATAATAGAACAGCAATAATTAGAATGCGGAAAGGATAACGATGTGACACAGAGCTGACTTAAGCTGCCCCACATTGGGCCTTTCTCATATTTTTGTTAGAACAATCAAAACTCCTGAAGTTGGCGGTCCGCAGAGGATAGCACGCATTTTTCTTTTCCCCATTAATTTTCAGTTAAAAGTCTCAACTCACCAGTGAATTTGCTGCTACTGGGGGCCACTCCTGCACATTTGATTTATTTTTTTCTGTATAACCTCTGCATTCGGTAGTGTAATATTACATTTTGTGGCTCTGTTAACCTTTTTAAAGGTATATTTTTCTTCTTGAGTGGGGAAAAAGGAATCCGAGGAGTCACTTTTTCAGACGAAAATAAATCCCCCATAATTTAACGTGTCATTGACCTGAAATAAACCTTGTTTAGGGAACAGCATGATGTGTTCATTTTCATTCACATGAAAACTAATGCAGAAGGTGCTTTATGGGCACGATGAGCACACGTTTCCACAGTAATCAGTCACATTATTTCTTTGAAGTAAAGAAACTGAGCTTGCATTCCCGTGGTCAGCGATGAGATGCATGGGGTGGGGTGATGCTTGGGACAGCTAGTTGCAGGGAGGCGGGGGTTTATCATCCCTCACAGGTGCGTGTGGCTGAACGAGAGACCAACCTAAAACGGTGTGTTTGACCAATAGTTTGCAAGTATCTAAGACAAGTATGGAATAAACTGATCTAACTTAATGTCACTGGTCACTTTCACTGCTATATTTTCTCAGGAGTTTTATTCTTAATTATATTTTTTCTTTTAAATTGTGTTTCGATAAGTTAGTTATTTTTTTATTTTTATTTTTTTTATAATTTATCTTTTTTTTATTTTTTGCCGTCTGTTTGCTGCTTCAGTCCTCCGTTAAGCTGCTGGAACTTGAATTCCCCTGACGGAGTCATCCCCAAGGGATAAATAAAGTCAAGTTTAAGTCGAACTGCAAAGCGGGAAATGTTGAGATCAGGCAGTGACAACTGCTGTTACGAGTGCTGTTTGCAGCAACTCCAGCGAGGGCAGACATGAAACTGATTTCACACGTAAACACGCGAGAATTTCAGGAAAAAGTGGGACAAGAATAACAGCAGGAAGATCATCTTCTGGTGATGCACTGAAACGGATCTAATGCACGACTCACAATAACCTGGGTTGCATCTTCACAGAGCACACGGGGTCCAGGCCATAACACAAAATTTACACTTTTACATATCCATGGAGCTATATTGACGTGCTTGTTACATGCCCACATCACACGTGGGCTCTGTTTTTCATTTTAACCACGGAATTCATTAGGTTTTTCGAGTTTGTCAACCACAAGGTTGTGGTTCCAGCTCATGTATCTCTCATCAAACTCCAAAAGCAAACTGATCAGTGTGTTATCCTCAAACTGTGCTTTGAATCTGCACTAATATGCATACATTGTCGGATAAGACCTTGGGCTTTCAAAGTGCTTCAGCAGCTTTTGGCACAAAGCAAATTTTGGGAGAACTGTAAAAAACGCAGTTGTGTATACTTATCCTTCTTTCTTTTCATTAAAAAATCTACAGATTATTATAAACAGTTTAAGTAAATGTGAATTGAATACTTTAAAAATGCTTGTCTTTAAGGTTAGGTTATTATTGTTATTTTTTAAGTAGGCGATGACGTTCAAATAAAAGAAAATGGGTAACATAAGCTAGGCTGTAACGGAAGAACCCATTACAGGCATGGCCATGTTTCTGTGATTGCTGAGAGGGAAGATGTTTTACTAAAGTGCAAAATTGGTTAAAAAAAAATAACACTCTGCAACAATATGGCAACAATTTCACAGAGATCTGCAGCACATCTGTCGCCATCTCAGACTCAATCAAGAAAATCATCCTCGTTTTGCAAAAGTGGTTCAGATTTTTCTTTTATAAAAAAAAGAAAACGACAAAAAAAACTTGGTTCAGAGAAGATGCAGCACTAAGAACTGACAGTTGTTTTCTCTATTGTCAGGCCATGCTGTGATCCCCAAATACTACTATGTACCGGCTGACTTTGTGGAGGCGGAACAGAGCAAACATGGAAGCCAGAAGCGTTTCCCTAGCAACTCTGGCCGTGACGGGAAATTATTCCTATGGGGTCAGGCCCTGTACAACATTGCCAAGCTGCTAGGTATGTCAGTGTCACCTGTCAATATTTGTGCATTTTTATCGATCCCCGATGCCATATGTAACCTAAAAGCTACCTAGATACCTACCAGTTTCTCTATGTGTGTTTATGTTTCTACAAATTCCAGCCGATGAGCTGATCAGTCCTAAAGACATAGATCCCATCCATCGCTACGTGCACCGGCAGGACCAGCGCAATGTCAGCATGCGATACTCCAATCAGGTATGTGCAAGTAGACCAGTAAGTGACCGCCATCACTTGGCTTTTGTATTAAAATAAAGGACAATTCTCTGATATTTCATCTGGTTTTATCCAGCCGCAAACTCCTGGTACCCATTTTCACAAAAAGGGCAAGATTGAAGTACCTCTTGAAATTGAAAAATAATCCAAATATAACTTTAAAAAGACAATGAAGTGCTGACTGCCCTAAAAAAAAACAGCTTATCCACTGTAAAAACTTGTGGAAAAAGTTAAATGTCAAGCAGAGCACTTTGTACTGGCAGAGAGTGGGCAACCTGTTAACAGCTACATTTTTGAGGCTTGTCTTACTGGTGGAGATCTTTGTGCAATTCTCTGCTTAAAGTTAAGCCTCTGCTTTTTTGTAAATTCCTCTTTGCTGTTGTAGGTGTTCATGGTTTTGAAGTAACCATTAAACATTAACTCTTGAACTTTTCGCAATCATATACGTAGAGGTTTAGGCAGACGGGTGGCAGTGGTCTGAAAGAACCTCGGTCCAACCTGAAACCTCGATCTCCCTCCTCTCACACTGATATTGTAGCCAAATTCTGTTTGAGAGCCGAAAACGTGTTGTCGGCTGAGTTGCCTTTTGGTGAGTCAAAGTGTTTCAGTAGGTGCGGGAGAAGGCCCACTTAAAAAATATGTTAATCGAAGTTTTTCTAGGAATTTTAAAGACTTTAGGACATTCTGTCTGTTTAAAAAAGGGCATAGTGAATCACTACTCAAATGGGTTTCAGAAGCGCTGGTCTTAAATTACTTCAAATGCATTTACGTTACCGAGCTGAGATATGCATGTATTCTCTTTAAAAAACCCGACCAACACGATCTATTCCTCTCTTCAAGATTCCACCTCGCTGTCTTGTTTTCCACCGGGTCTGGGAGATTTTATTTGTACGTGCTGAGGTATCAGTTGCATTCCATCTGTTACAAGCGTAACAACGGGAGTAATTTCATTTTTGCCTTGCTGAGGGTTGAGCCATCCGATGGGGATTAAGCTTGGCCTGTTTGCTGTTCCTCAATGGCAATTAGGTTTGAGATTTAATCCGTAACAGAGATGGCCGGCAGCTCTGGAAAAAAAAAAAAAACGGAGGCTGGATATGCACATATAGCTGCTATATGTGGAATTGATGTCACTCTATTAGGAAAATAATGTGTGTATGAGGCATAAGAGATGATAAGGTGTTGGAGGTGAAATGCCCGATTTGCAGAAGAAGAAATGGCCTTTAATTTGATTTTGATGGATTTTTGGACTAGGTCAACTCTTTAATGTTACTTCATAGATACTGAACACACTAAACAACTTTAGATTAGATTCACCTGCAGAGTGGACAGAATATGTATTCAAGTCACTTTTTTTTGTCAGTTTTTTAGTCAAACAGTAAAAAAAATCAGAGATGATAGGAAGTCTTCTCTTTGTTGGGTTAAATCCTCTGTAGCTTTCTTGCATACAGTGGAAGAAATACGAGGCTCCATTGAATAAAGGCCTTGCCTAGATTCAGCATCTATGCTAGTATGGTTGTTAAAGGATGGCTACACTCATGTTCTCTGTGTTTTGTCATCACATTTATAGCTGCTTAGGTATTTGTGGTCACATTTTGTAAACCTGCTAGCCAACGTGCAGATTTGTATGACATGTTTAATGTTTTCAGTAACTACCGTTCCATCTGAGTAGCGTTAACAAAGTAAAAGTGAAGACTGGACAAAAAAACTTCTGTCTCTGTGTCTATCACCCCCCCACTTACAAATGCAACACTATTAAAAATAAAGACACTAAAAAAAAAGCCAAACAAAGCCAACAAACTATGACAGACACAATAAATGCATTAGATCTGGCCTGGATCTGAATTGAAAGCTTCTTTTAAAAAAAAAACTTGATAAGAATCCAGACGCGTACTATATCTTTTGTCTATTTGTATATCCCTCCATCCATAGCTATGATGAATAACTTAATGGAAAATAGTTTTCACTGTTTCATACAATATCAATTAGTAAATATTGAGCATTTGATGTTCAATATATCGTATTTTTCACATTATAAATGTAGGTAGCATTTCCAACAGGAAGCCATATGAAATTACAAAAACCATGAATGTGGCATATGGCCTTTTTTGAAAGTTAGAATACCTGTTTCCATGTCCTCAGTAAGGATATCTTAGCTTTAATTGTTTTTTCTTCATGCAGCTAGGGCTTAGCGGAGCACATCCCGGGGTCAAAAGGCCACGCAAATTGCAGGCTTCTATCCCTTTGTTCACCCTCCATCCTCCACCACTTCCCTCACCTCTGTTCTCCCGTCTATTTAACTGTTTCTCTTTAAAACCATCTCATCCTGACTCTTGAGACTTTTACTCTTTCTGCTCTTTATGTGGATTTTTTTTCCTGTCGTAGCCAGACACTCAGCTTTCATGTTGTGTTAGCACAGAAGCCTGAGATCGGTGCGAGAAAAGTAACAGGAGAGTTGTGAAATAAGAGCAGGTTTTTGCACTTTTTTTTTTTTTTTTTTTTACCCCTGCTGGTTGTTTTGTGTTTTAAGCAAGAAATGTGTGCTGTTTGCGTGTGTACACAGGGGCTGTCTAGTTAGCTCTTCATCACCGGCGTCCAGTGTTTGGTCTGCGGGGAGGAAAAGGCACATGGGCACGCTGAGCCTTCACATGCAGTTAGTACCTGATTTTTACTCGTAGGAGTCCTCCCCGTCGTGGACGTGTAATTGGCCCGCCCTGACGCGAACCGAAAAGAATAGCAAGCGCGTTCTACATGCATGCATCTATCTCCCCGCATCAGCGTCTGCGTGGAGGCTTGGTGGTTTCGGCTGTCTGCAGGCGTGCTTGCATACGAGTGTCTTCTTGTTTGTGTTGCATTCATTATTCAGATCTATCCAAATGTTTCGCTACCGCCTGTAACTCCCTGCTTCGAGTCATCCCACTTGGTATGAATAACATGAAGTGCTGTGCTCTTTTTTTTTTCATTTGGTTCTTGCTGCATTATGTGAAATCAGCTCTGGACTTTTAGTAGATTTAAAATAAAGTCCCCTCTCCTTACTATATCCCATATGTACTCGTGAAGTTACTATGATTTTGATGCCTGATTTAAATTTTTTACATCACAACACTTTGCCACCTCGTTTTCACATATTTTGAAACCGTAACAGGTTGAAATCTACGATAAACTTCTGATATCTTTAGTTTTTCCATGAATACAAATCACAACCTATATTTCCCTTATTCTAAATTACAACCGGTTTTTGTTTAGTTTTTTTTCCAAATTGAGGACAAAAAAGATGCTGTCCATCCCAGCAACAGATTTTTTGTATTAATGTTGCCAAATTATGGATGTTTTTTTTACTTGTTTTGTTCGTCTTTATGGACTACATCTACATTTTCCGCAAAGATTCTTTGAATGATTCATAAGTCAGTGAGACCTGTCTTTGCAGAGGTCTGACACACTGCTGATCAAGACTTTGTGAGCTTTGGTGGATCTGTGTCCCCGCAAAGCTATTGAACGGCAATAAGACAGACAAATGCTCTTCTCAGGTCTTTAATTTAAGAAGCATTGCAGTCAATAAAAGAGTGTTCAGTTATATGTTATTCTTAATCGACACGGATGCTTTTTTTTTTTTTTCAAATCCTTGGTGCCTTTGTTTCACGTAAACTCGACATTTTAGGATATCAGTACAAGTTGTCTTTTCAGGATTGATCATGGGGAGCAACATGGCAGTTTTTGTTTCAATGATTTTTTCTTTTTTAATTTATTGTAACATAAAACCCACATATGTTCTGAAACACAATGAGCTTTTTAGCCATTGTCTGCTTTGAATTTAAAGTAAAATTGTCTTTGTTTTGCATATCGCTATGAAATCAGAAGCTTCCAGTTCTGAGTTCTATTGTCACATTTTTAAAAATTGTATTCGTACATTCAGTTCCCAATACCCCCCCCGCCACTGAATACCCTGCTGCATAGACATAAGAACTATGCACTGCGTTTGCTTGACTAGTATAGATTATTATTTTTTTCAGATATGTTTCTAAATTTAGAAATGATGATACTGCAGGTGATCTCATATCTTACCTTGGTAAGGCCTGATGCATTAAAGCTGCATCCTGTGGTTCTCAGAAAGAGGAGAGGCAGAGTTTTTCTCGATCTTAAAGCATATGAACAGCTAGAAGGTGCAAATTAGTGTGCAAAGGGGTTACGTTTGCAAATGTAATGCATTAATGATCTAGAGGAACCTTTTCCTGCCGCACTGAACTTCCAGCTTGTTTAACAAAGTAAAACAAAGCCAAACATTTTTAATATTTACAGAAGCCACAAGCTAAATTGCGAAGAGTCAGTAGTCATGTATTATTACAGTGCTCAAAAACCCCCTCTGTGTGAAAATGATAGGTCGAAATGGATTATTTCTAAGCTTGACTTTTGGGATACGGGCAGCTTTCTTTGATATTTATCAGCTGCAGAAGTGTAGCAACAGACTATGAGGGTTTTTTTTTTTTTTTCTGCGAGAGACACCCGGTGCTCCCAGGGCTGCGAGGGTGAGTCAGATGAAACGCGCCCCCCAAGGAGCGTGGCGTGGCATCCCACTGACAAACATGCAATAATACACAGCAGGCATCGCAATTGGAGGGATCTGAGAAGTCATGAATGGCTGTAAAAGTGAATTAGTTGCCTATTTCTCCAATGTCACACCCTTGCTTTTAATCTGGTTCCCTTAATGTGCTCAGGTTTTCAGGCATGCTCACAGTGTCAGTTTGCATTTTTCAGATTCGCTTTTTTAAAACCCACTATGGTTTGCTCCGCATGCCCCTGCGAATTTTGTTTACAAAAATGTGTATGCAAAAAAACCCCCTAAATATTCATATGTGTAGTGTGTATGTGTAGTGTGTGTATTTGTATGGGAAAAAATACATCAAAGGAAAAACTCTTTGGCATTAAGTTGGTATCAAAACAAAGAAAGCGACAGTTCATGTGAGGTAGAGCGGTCGTAGCAGCTGTAACTGACTTCATGACACGCTTGCAGTCGATCACAAAAACACGCATCCACTCATTCTACACTCTGTGCGAGATCCAGGCCACAATTTGTTTGTTGTACGGGAGCCATCAGCCATTAATCAGAGATAAAGTGTGGTTCCAGAGAGGACGTTAATTGGACATTACAGGAACAAACATGCCATTTTACTGTCGGGATTTGTGTAGGAGGAACGATGGAGGCTGGAGCATGTATGAGGGGGGAGATGGAGTGAATCTGTCTCTGTATATCTCTTTTTTTAAGTCTTTGAAAAAAATAATAGGATCCATCAGTGGAACATTACAACAGAACCCAGAATCTGCCTCACTGCTTCACTGTTGATCAAACTGTTGACTGCTGAGCAGCTTTATACAGCATTTAGCAGGTTTCAGGTAAGAACTTGCCAACATCTT